TCATGATGCATGAAATGTAGATGAACATGTTTAACTTTATTGGACCTAGTAGTAGCAACGCTCTTCTACAAGGTAGGCGACATCATCCAAGAACATATACTACTATCTACTATGACAATCACTGTACTAGCATGCCAAATCACCATAGTAAACTAAGATGCTTCAAAGATACACCAAAGCGAACATTATTAACTAAACTCGCATTCAAGAAGATCATTTGATTTCATTTTAAACTAGGGCTACAAGGCAACATATATTTCTGGTGCTCATAAAAATCTAAGAAAATTACAGTAGCATATTACTACTCTAAGTAGACTACCATAAAATTTTCATGGCATTTGGATAAGTAAAATAGCCTACACAAAAATGACAAGGCATAAGTGCTTAAAAAGGCATAAATAGAAAACCTTAGTTAAAAGTGCCAAGCAATAGATTTTATATTTTTTCTAACATCCTTAAGGTACTGGGATACTCCCTACAAAATTTCATGGTCATAGGATTCCTAGATAATTTACAAAAAATTACACAAGTATCAATCAATGACAAAAAGAAAATCTATAACTCAAAAACCACACATGCAATGACTCTCAAATTTTTACCAGAGCTTCTACTAAGCAAGACTAGCTTACCCACAAAATTTCATAATTTTTGGACCACAGAAACTCAAGATATGATTTAAATAAGTTTGCATGCATTTAAAAACACATTTCAAATTCCTATTTAATTCATCCAAAATTTCACTACAAGTGCCCATATCATATTTTTGTTAAATATTAGACTTCACTGTGATTCTACCAAAATTTGAATCATACCATTTGGATCTACCAAAATGGAGACACAAAATTCACAAAACAGCATTGAAACCTGGAATATTTGCACTATCCTATTGCTCAACGATCACTGGCAAGCGGGACCTACACGTCAGCTCGGCCCACGCGTCAGTGACAAGAAAAACAGGGGACGGCTCACTCGATGGCGCGGCAACGGTGAAACTCGCCGACGGTGGCTCCTCCGGCGACACCGAAAGCACCGGAGTGCTCTCCGCGATGAGGCGACTCAATTGGTGCTACCGGCGAGACCTAAGACCTAGCGGAGGTGGCGCGTCGACGGTGATGGCGGCACGGCCGAGCTCTGGCGTGAGATGCCGGCGACGGCGAGCCATGGCTGCCTCAACCGAGCCCGGCATGAGCTACAGGGGATCGCTACGGTGCTACCCAGGCAAAGAGAGGAGGACGAAGGAGTTTCCAGCTACCCCTACCATGGCGGCCTCAACTCCAGCGAGGACACGCCCATGGCGGTGGTGGCGGGAATGGACAATGCGTCCTTACCAAAGCTCAAACGGCTCAGCGGTGAGGTGGACACGTGGAAGGGTACTACGGTGGCGCTGGTACGGTGGCGATTGCACGACGTGGGCGAGCTTTGTGCTGCCAAAGGCGTCAGCGGAGCTACGGCGCTGCGCTGTGCTTGCTGCGGGCGACGAAGGAGCAAACAGAAAACCGAATGAGAGCGCGGGAGGGAGCGGACGAGTGCGGGGCGTGTTGAGGCACGCGGCAGCCTGTCGTGGCCTGGCTCGGCAGGACGTCGGCGACGTGTGGCCTCCACGCGGCAGCCGAGCTTTGCCGCTGTCGGCCACTGAAGACCGAACCGTTACGGCCATCAGACCCGCGATCAGAGCCTGACGGCGTTCGTTCTCCTAAACCATGAATCAAAATCGAAAACAATATAAATCAAAGTCGTAGACCTATATACCATCTTCAACTTCTATTAAAGGATCGAGTCCTAATTCCCAACCAATACCGAGTAATATCATGCCAAAGTCAAGCCTACGAAACTGGAAAACCGAGAAGAACTTAGAAAAATTCTAAGTGCTGAAAACCAGTGAATTGTTGATTTTTGTGAGCACAAAATGACTAAGCTATGCATAGAATTAGCTCAAGACTCAAACATAAAAGTTGTTTCCCTACTCAAATACTACAACTTTGCTTAAAGGTTCACTGCCATGCAAAGACTCTATGACATCATTCAAACTAGGTCAAACATGGCACTTTAAAATAATGTCATACACCATATCCATGACTTAGAGACTAAACAAGACTTAGTCATGAATACCAAAGTGGTTTCTCATGCTATTCTAAACATGTTTAAAGCATTCACAAGGTCACCCACACATTTCATACATTGGTTCCATGTAAACCCTAACTTAAGTAAGGTAATTAAGTAACATCACATGCAATATAAGCAACCCAAGATGGAATACATGATATGCTTATGATCATGAATGCTCAATGATGATTGTGATCATGCAAGGTCAAGGTTAACTGCATGCTTAACACCGAGGGTGTTACACTACTGCGCATGTAGATAAGCTCGAACTACAATTCAAAAATTGCCCAAGGAAGAGTAGATCGAGCAAATTACTGATGTTCTTAGGGTAGTGTAGAGCATATTCCACCACTTGGATGTTGGCGGAAGTGCACGAGCAAGTAAATAGGGACCAAACCCTAGAATCATCACAAATACAAGTATAGCAATGCAAATCATAAGAACACAAGTGAGACACCGATTTATCCCGTGGTTCAGCTCGCCACTAAGGCTTGCCTATGTCCACGTTGTTGAGGTTGCCATAAAGGCTTTGGGTCTCTTTCAACCCTTTCCTCGTTCTCAAGTCAAGAGAATGAACTCTTGAGATGAGAGGTGATTTCACTAGCTGTTTGGGGTAATTACAAACCTCACGGGGCTGCCATATAAGTTGGCAAGCTCCACGGGCGACGCTCTAGCCGGCTAGGAGTAAAGCTCCAAGAGTAATAAACACAACCGCCGATCAAAACGTGAACCAAGTGCTCTTTAGAATTTGTGAATCAAAGGAGTTGTTCTCTAATCAAGTTATGGACCCTTTTTCCCTCAAGGCTTGATGGGGAAATCAATGGATTTGCTTGAGGGCTTTAGGTCAACAATGGAGTGAGAGAGAGAGAGAGAGCTCCTGCTCTGCTTTGGACGTACTAAAGTGAGGAAGAAGAGAGTTGGTCCCTTACCATTGGGGAGGAAGGGGAAGGTATATATACCCCCCAGCCCTCAACGATCACTTAAATTGCAGATAGCCGTTGGGAAGAAAAGAAAAGGTATATATACCCACAGCCCTCAATGGACACTGCACCCAAGAGCCAAGGGATCGGACGAGTCGGAGCTCACACCACGCAAGATAGCAAGGGTAATAGTGAAGTGCAGACTATCTTGGCTGTGAATCTGAGGATGCTTGTGGTTGTTTGAGCACTTGGTAGCACATATTAGCTTAACCATTGTGTCTTCCCTTTATAGTACGGTTTTTTCTATACTCAAATTTAAGATATAAAAGAATCTTAAACCTCTTTTGAGTTTGAAGTCATTTATATTTATAATTGGAGGCTTCTCCATTTCATGTAGCATCCTCGAATATAAATTTCCTGCTTGTCATCTCGATAAATCTCATTAGTTTTCTAATTGCGTGGTCATTATCATCAAAACCCATAATTAAGGCTTGATTGCACTTTCAGAGCAAACATATTTTGAGCATGTGACTTGAACCATTTCCATACATATGAATTCACTTCAATGGCTTCAAGTCACTTTCACTAATGATTTGATCATCAACACAATATGACTCCTCATAGCCTGATTAGTTATTCGACTCAATGCAAGTACTCTCTTCTTCACCTTAGCCATGGTATCTCGGTCCTCAAGCCGTCGCTTATCCTTCACCTTGGCTTAGTCCCTCGAAGCCCTTTCCTTGCTATCTTTACCTTATCAAGTCATACTCAAGTCACATCATATTAAGTATCCATTGAAAAACAATTTCTTCAATAGTATGATCCTTGCTTAAATATCTTATAGATATGAATGTTGAGATCAATCAAGCTTTAGTTTGATTCATATAAAGACATATATGAATCAACATCAATATGGTCAAGCCAATTTACGATTACTTATATCATCTTCATTTTAGCTTGACACTCTTAATACTCACTTCAATATCTATCTTCATACTTCTAGCTTGATCAAAGCAATGCAAAGTGATTTTCCAAATCTTTATCCATACAAGCAAACCAACATAAAGACGGACTTATATCCAATATGAGTTGTGTCATTTGTCATTTAAACCTTTGCTTGGTATTTCTTCACTTATGCATTCTTTCTCCAATCATTGATCAAAACTAATCCACTGTCAAACTCTTCTTGTTCATGTAAAACAAGCCATTATTGAGACCAATCCAAAATCATCAACTCATATCTCTTTTTAATATTTGCTAAATATGCTTGTTTTCTCATGATACTATATGATATTCCTCAACATAAAAGTCATTTCATCAACTCCATTTGCATTGTTGTCTTTCTCTTGAACTATATTGTTTTTGTGATCTTCCAACACAACAATACATAATTTGGCCTTGATTTGAACATTATATGAAATATCATCGAGTTTGCCTTCTTATTGAACCTATATACACTTCTCATTCCACAATCCATAAGTGTATGCAATAAACTCAATTTTTTGTTTAGCACTTAGCAAATTTGTTAGGCCTTTAATGATGTTGTCATTTAATTCATCGAAACCCACTCAAAAGCTGGATACACTTAATTAAGTCAGAGTCTTAACGCCGGATTACGACAGAATCAACTTGACAGTTATTTCACTTGCCTTTTCATCGTCATGGATTCGCGCTACGGCGCTAGCCCTTAGCTGCGGCGGCGGATGCGACGTGGCAGGCTCGTAGCGACGCAACCGCGATGACAGGTAAGGCGATGTGGGGGTTAAGCGCAGCAGGGTAACTCAATCGGCAAGCACAATGGGAAAAACAACAACGTTGTTAAAGGCCAGAACTGTTCGCATTCCACTGGGCTTCTCTGAGCGGCCTGCCTACGCAGCCCAATAGGCCCAGACGTGGTCTAACAGTTTCTCTCGCGCGTGTCTCCCATCGCTCGCCGTCTTCTACCTCCGTCTGTCGAAAAAAGAAAAGAAGCCGTCCATGGCCGCACATAGCAGAGGGCATCCGGCCATGAGGGAAAGGGGGTTCTCGCCGGCGGGGACCTCTCCATATTGGTGGATCCGCCCCTGCGCCGGATCGATCCTCTTCCTGTCCCTCCTCTTCCTCTTCCTCTTTACCGCCGCCGCGGCGTCTGCGGCGGCGCCTGAGGAGGAGAAATTCACGGAGGAGCTGCTCCTGCGGCCGCTCCCGGACCGCAAGGCACTGGCCTACTTCCACTTCCGCTCCTCTGCGCCCCCCGCTGCCTCCGTTGGTCGGCACCACCACCTCTTCCCCAAGGCCATCTCCCAGCTGGTGCGTGCCCCGTGCGTCCATCTCCACTCAGGAGCAGATCTCTGATGTCGCTGACTTAGGGTTTATGTTCCAATTGTATACGGCTTTAATTCGTCGTTCATACTGGTACCTTAGCTTGGACTAGCATGCAACTAGATAGGTGTGGTTGTAGATCAATAACACGTTTGATCTGTTTGTGGGTACTCCACTGGGACAGTGAGGCAAGCAATTGCTTTGCTGCAAAGATTTTGCTTTTGGCACATGTACATAGTTGTGCTAAGATGGAGATCTTTACTTTGCATTTATTTCATTTTTCCACCTAATGATGTTTATCAAGTTGTCAAGGTATTAGTTGAATGTTGCAATCCAAGTGCTGATTTGTTTTTACCCAAATTTGAGCCGAGGTGCTGTGTAATCGCTGTAAAGTTTAAGTTTTGCAATTTGATCAAAGGCTGAAGCCCAGCTTGATTAGAAATGGGCACAGTAGTTGGTGGGTTTGTACTTTGTAAGACAACAAGTCAATGACCCTGAGTATTGGGGGGTCTCTGAAATGGGCACAGTAGTTGGTGGGCTTTTGCCTATTAGGCATTAGCCCCAAATGTTTGTGGGTTTGAGAATTTTACTCTGTATTCTTTTGTTGCCTATTAGGTTTACATATAATAAGCTATGCCTTGTTTACACCTTTAAGTCACAACAGCCTGGGCGCTGAAGAAAGGGGCCCTTCATTTCTTTTGTGCTGCCACATTTTATGAATGACTGAGAACCTCTATTAACATTATTCTGCTTTGTCAAGACCAGGTTAAAAAATATCATATTAGCGAGTTGGAGCTATCATTCACCCAGGGAAGATGGAACTATGAGCAGTGGGGTGGATTTGATCCTATGTCAACTAATAATGCAAAGCCTCCTGGTGTTGAGCTGTGGGCACTGGGCAGTTTTTGATCTTTCTTTGTCTGAAATTGATGCAACATGGAAGAACCTGACACATACACTCTCTGGCCTGTTTTGTGCATCCATCAACTTTTTGGAGTCTTCAACTGCATTTTCTGCTCCTAGTTGGGGATTTAAATTGAATGAAGGCAATTTGCGATATGGTGCATTGCCTCGTGAAGCAGTATGCACTGAGAATCTGACACCTTGGTTGAAACTTCTTCCATATCGTGACAAAGCTGGGATAGCTTCTTTGCTGTACAGGCCTTCAATTTACAAAGGATATTACCATTCGCAAAAACTGAAACTGAGATCCTCCCAGTCACTTGGTATTATTCTTGATCAAACTCTGACTGTTGTGCTCCAACCAAATACTGTAAGTGGCGAACAGCTACATTCCAATCATGGTCAACTTCAGCCCAACTGGTCCATGAGACATCTTTTCAACAGAAAGTTGTCAGGGAAATGCCTTGTTTCTAAATCCAGCAGAGTATTCATTGAGGTTGATAAAGGCATTGTTGACAATGTTAACAAATCTGGAAGTGATCTTTCTTGGAGTAATGAATTCTTTGTATTGTCTAATAGCCCGGACAAGTTGATCAAAGGTCAAAATCACGTAGAAATTCAATCTTCTTTTTTATATGTATACGATGCTAGTAACTACACTGAGGAAAAACCTTTGGATGTGGGCATAACTTGGAAGCTTCCCCTCGTATGGACTTGCACCCCATCACCTTTTCATGCAAGCAGATTTCTTATGGGCAGTGGAAATGAAAGAGGGTCAATTGCTCTGTCGTTTATGTCCACTAATCTTCATAAGCAGATATCCGGCAGCCCAACTGATTGTTCAATAAAGGCAGTTATTTTCCAGGTTGTTCCATGGTATGTTAAGGTCTATTATCACAGCCTAGAAATATTTATAGATGGGAGCAGGAAGACTGTGTCAGAAGTAGTTGACAAGATTCATGTCATTCCTTCAGAAGACAAGCTTTTGCCTGGTACCCTGGAGATGCTACTAAGATTCCCTTGCAGTATGCAGTCAGGAACTCTGACATTGGATTTTGACAGGGTATGCTCTGCTGCTTAAGTTACTTGAATGTACCTTCCCATTGGGTACAATTTCACATATTTCTCACTTGGTGCTTCGGCCTGAGTCTTCATTTGTTATTTGCCCCTTGGGCAGTCTTAATGCAATGATGTCCAGAATTAAACATTGCGTTTTTAGTTTGTGACAATGTTAACTGCACATGAAATTTCAGGGATTCCTGCATATAGATGAATATCCTCCTGATGCTAATCAAGGATTTGACATTCCTTCAGCTTTGGTTAGCTTTCCTGAGTTCAGTTCTGCTCGAAGTTACCCTGAAATTGATCCAGTACTTGGATCTCCTTTACTAGAAAATTTCCAGGTACACCCTCAGAGAGATGTCATGAACTGATCAGTTGGCTAGTACTAGCTGATTTCCTTGCATTACATGAATATAAGTATTTGTGCTTCATTATCGTTGCAGTATGTCAATATCTCTGTGTTCTGCAGGAAGATAGTGTTGTGAAGTCGTATACAGAAGTATTGCTTGTTCCCCTGACAACTCCTGATTTCAGCATGCCATACAATGTCATCACCTTCACATGCACTGTCTTAGCTCTTTACTTTGGCTCATTATTGAATGCTTTGAGACGAAGGATTGGTGAGGAAGAGAGGGAGTTGAAGAAAACAGGTAAGCACAAATATTTATGTTGTTTGGTTCCTGTTTTGTGATGCCTTGTGTTACAGAGCTTGTGCTCTAGTATGTATGGGACTTAATCATACTTGTATAACAGCTACATTCAATGCAGAAGAAATTTTGTTTTCGTTGTGCTGTCACCATGCCTGCTCTTTTTTCTCGAACAACCATGCCTGCTCTTCTAGAGAGAATCAGATAAAGTTGTTTCTTCAAAATTTGATGTAAAGGATGGAATGCAGCTTCAGATGTTGAAAGAATTGAATAATTAACATTTTTTTGTTCAACTTACAATTTCCAACCCTACCTTGAAACAAGTTACAGTGTTACACCCTAACAAGGTTACTTGAACACAATGTGCCTGTTTTCTTGCTCTAGATTTAGCTGGTCATGTTTCTGCTGTGCAGTGGTCATACTGAAGAAGTGGCAACTCTTAGCAAGCATCCTTTATAGGAAATTTGTTGATGAATTGTTCTAGTTCTAGGAAAAAATAGATGTACTGGCTAAAAGAAGACAGTACTTGGTTTGAAGAAAGTATTGTTCAAAACAGGTTGGGAACTTTTTGTTTCTCGGACCAATTAGATTTGCGCCTTCAAAAAGGATTTGGATGTCATGGGCTCCTCTATGGTGTAATTTTTCACATGGGTTGCGGTACTTAACCGTTGTTGGACTGCAGACAGATCGGCAAAGACGGGGTTGCCATTTCTGGCGTTTTGCCCACTTTGTGACCTAGCTCCTGAAACTATCAACCATCTGTTGATCTGTGTGGTTGCAAGTACAGTATAGCTTACTGTAGTTCGAGAATTAGCCTGCAGGCTCTAACACCACAACCTGATGCCACTACTCTGGCTGGTCGAACCGGATTATCAAGAGAGTGGATAAAGAGCAGTGAGAAGACCTCGATTCTTTGATCATTTTAATAACACGGGAAATAAGGAAACACTGTAATGATTGCGGTTTCAACAATGCTACCCTGAACATATCCTTGGTAGTGTGGACAGTAGAAGAGGAGGGAGCGCTATTGTTCAAGGCTGGGACTCATGGCCTCCAGAGCCTTTTCTAGGGTCTGTGTCCTTGCATTTTGGTCATCTGATCTATTTGATCTCAGTGTTCTAGGGGATGCGTGGATTTTGGGTGTGTATCCTGTTCGGTGTTGTACATTTGGCTTTCATCTTAATGAAATGACACATGGCACTCCTACATGGTTCAAGAAAAAAAAACTACGCACTCTTTTATAAATGTGCTATTTTGATATCAAACAGGTCTCCAAGATAGAAAATCACTGCTTGATCTTTTACAGTATGCTACTAAGCATAGTCACAAAGTTCCTGGGTCCATGAGGGTCAAGGAACAGGGTCAAGGAACATGGCGCACTACTTGCTAGAGGTTTTTATAAGACAGGGATGAAATTGTTCCTGAATTCCTGGGACAGGGACGATTTCCTGGGACAAGACCCAGCTTTGACCTGTTTTCTAATACTACTAAGAACCGCCTTTCTATACATGAAGAGAAAATAGTATTTGATTGTTTTTTTAAAACTTTGGTTGTTAGGAGTGGGACTTTTGTTAACTGAACCCTTGGCACTAGCTTCAGTGTGAAATCCCTTGCATTTTCTGAACTGACCTTGGCATATTTTTCTGCAAACTATTTCACATATTTTATATTGATATTTACTTCCTATTTGGCCCCTATTGTGATGTACTCCCTCCGTCCCAAACTATAAGTCGTTCTGGCTTTTCTAGATACATAGATTTTACCATATATCTAGACATAATGTATATCTAGGTGTGTAGCAAAAGCTATGTACCTAGAAAAGCCAGAACTAATTATAATTTGGAAAGGAGGAAGTACATGTAAGGGGGCTTCTGAATTTCTTAACAAATGTTGTTGATATTTTATTTTCCTGAAAAAAAAACATCAGCAGCTTGCTTCTTACCAGTATTAATTCTGTTACAGCCACAAGGCATGGGCTCATTCCTCGGTTGGTAGCTAAGTTAAGGGGGCAGAAGGTGGATCCAACAGAGTCAGGGTCCTCATCTGAATCGACTGGATCAAAGAAGCTGCTATTCAAGGTTGTATTTGTTGCAGTAGCTGCAGTTCTATTTCACTATTTCTCAAACAACAGTTAAGACTTAACATCTGTATCTAAAATTTTGGGCTACTTTGGACTGTGGAGCCACGGCGGTAGAATGTACCATGTTGTGTAGCATATGTATTGCCTGTAAAAGTTTGCTTGCTTCCAGGCGCTATTTTGTCATCCTAGATTCTTGAGAGCAGAGCTTGCTGTCCCTTGATTGCACCAGGTTCTTTTTTTTTAGGAACCCACTATACATTTTTTACGTTGAACAGTGTTTTTCAGCCGGAACCATGTTTTTCTCTCACGACAATTCAGCCAGAACAGTGTTTTTCAGCTAGTTTTAGCTAAAATTCTGCCAGCCGAACGGGGCATAAGTATCTAACCACCACATGCAGCATCTGAGCAAGCATCTGTGCACTGTGCTTGAGCTTTATTCGGCTTGAATAGCTACTAGTCCAGATAGATTTTTCCCCCCCTGAAGTAGAATGTATTCCATACGATCATTTCGTGTCAGATTTGTTGGTCTCAAAGAAAAGAGTATTGGCGTCTGTTGGTAGCCCCCACCCACCCCCAACCCACACACACACACAAAAAGTCTGGTCACTCAAAAAAAAAATCATTTTGTTTCTCAAAGTTCAGATTTTAAGGGATGAGAGATCATATCCTATGTTAGAAGAATATACGAATAAATAGAATTTTCTAGATCTGCTTCTGCTTTTGTGATGGAGGAATCGTGCTGGACATCCATCCAAAGTTCCAAACTCCGCTTGTGAATCCATAGCATTTCAGATAATGTGTCGTCAGCAAACAAAATCCGGTGATAGTTGGAATAGTGAATGCTACTACGGAGTACTACATCACAAACAAATTCCTGCATTCTTGACATGGGAGAGAAAGTAGTAGGAAACTTGTGTGCTCTCTAAAGAGATTTATGGAGCCCTTGGCCGCGTCATGGCGCGAGCGAAGATGATGACCGCGCTGACGAGGATGCACGGCGGGAACATCCCGTTGACCAGCCTCGACGACCGCAGCGGCTCCGGCACCCCGTTGACTGCAACCGCTGCCATCACCGCGGGCACCAGCAGGCCGGCGACGATCACCGACACCGGCTTCGTCCACGACTCCTGCCGGCAACGAAAAGCCGTTGGGTTGGTTCCGCGATATCCACGTGCCGCGAGGTGCAACTCGTAAAAACGAAGGGAGAGGAACACGGCCAACTCACTCCGGGCTCGCCGTCGAGGGCGATGGCGGCGCCGTCGCGGAACGGCAGCGCGGAGTAGCCGGCGGCCGGGTCGCACCTGATCCGGAGGCCGCGCCCGCGGCGGGGGCCCTCGGGCCTGAAGGCGAACAACGCCCGGAGGCCGTGGCTCGCCTGGATGCGGCGCACGTCGAGGCGGTCCCGCCCAGGGCCCGACAGGTCCGACCGGAAGATCGCCACCGGGCCGGCGCCCCGCCGGTACAGCCGCACCTCCACGAACGGGACGCGCTGCCTCGCCGTCGCGGTCGGCTCGAGCAGTGGCGCAGCCAAGCATTTTTGTTCCGCACGCGCCATCACGAGTGATTCACGACCCCCTCGCCGTCGGCCTGCTCGTTTGGTAACTACTGCGATGTGCGGGCCTGGCTGGATGCGAAAATCCTTACACCTCAGAGCGTCTCCGAGAGTTCTCTAAACGTCCTTCTAATCCTTAGATTTTTAAAAAGATAGAAAAACCCTCTCCAATAACTTTTAATATTTACTTCTAATCTTTTAGGACTTGGAAAATTCCTCGCCCTTCCACGTAATTTTACGCGGACGAAGCCACACGCGGAGACGCCGTTCCCGCGGAGTTCTTCTTCCCGCGCCTTTCCCACCTTCTAGAACACCGTCGGCCACTGGAGGACAGTCGTAGCACGGGCAGCAGCACCACCACGCCGCCCTGCCCACACGCTCGCTTCCTCCTCCACCTTTGACCGGCACCGTCGTCGATCGGGACGCGTAGCACCGCCGGGCTGAGCGCTCGCTCGCAAGGCGGCGGGTCGGGGAGGCCGTGTGCGTGCGTGCGCGTGAGCATGGCCGGTGGCCCGTGATCATCACGCGGGAACGCGCCCGGTAGCGCGCTGCGTGCCCTACGTCTTTGGAAGTCGCCGCCCGGCTGCGCGACGTCGTCGGCAAGCGTGGCGGGTTCGTAGCGCGCCGCCGCCGCTAGGTGGGCGTGTGCGTGCTTCGGCGGCGCCGGGGCGTCGCCAGCGTGTGCATCCATCGCCCGGTGGCGGCCCGCACCGTCATCACCCTCATTGCCGCTTTGACATCCTCTCCCTCGGCGGCTCCTTCCTCCGCCGCCGGCGCGCCCCCGCCATGGGGCTCACCGTCTACCTCTCCGTGGCGGGGCCAAGTGGTGGGCGGCCACGATCGCCACCCGCTCCTCGCCTCCGGCCCGTCGTGATCGTTGCCGCTTTGCCAACGCGCCGCCCTCGGCGCTCCCTCTCGACGACGACGAGCCGCCGCCGCAGCAGCACCACCTGCAACAGCCTCTTCCTCCTCCGCAGGGCATGCCCGGAGCCTCCTCCTCGCCGCCCCCACCGCTGCCATTGCCCGGACAACACCCGCTCGCCGACCAGCTCCCCACAGCCTCATGAACGGCGTGGAGTTGATGACGATGGAGCCGTCGCAGCCCCGGACGAAGCAGAAGTGCCACCGAGGCGACGACGAGCGCCTGCTTGCTTGCGTGCAGGCTGCTGGTTGCCTGCTTGCTACCCACCTGCTTGCTTGCTTGCGTGCAGGCTGCTGGTTGCCTGCTTGCTACCCACCTGCTTGCTTGCATAGTACTGTATGCATGCTCTGTTTGCTTGCCTGGTGGTGCTTGCCTGGGTGTCGACTGCTGGGCTAGGGCAACACGACGGATGCAGGCGGCGGCGGCGTGGATACGCGCGGCGACGAAGAGGTTCGCGTGGAAAAAAAGAAGACTGCAGAAAAAAAAAACATCAAATGGGACCAACATTTGATTTTTTAGAAGTAGAATATTATGAACTATTGGAGATAAACTTTTTTTTCTCCTAAAACCTTTTTAGGAGTTGACAAACATAGACTTTTTAGAAGGAATATTTAGAGAACTCTTGGAGATGCTCTTATATTGGTTCAAAATTGAGCTAAATACCATAGCTTTGTACGTCAAGCTGGTTTTCAAACAATCTCCCAACCAAAGCAAAGCATTCTCATACCCAGAGGAGGAAAGTTCATATAAAATGTTGAAATGTTGGCGCAATGCAAGAGCAATTAAGTTTGTATTCCAGATCCAGCACAAGGTAAAAGTTGATTTGAGGCAGAACAATCTCCACCGCTCAAACCAAGATAGAGAAGCGTCTTAACATAGGACAACAGCAGTAACAGCTGAATTCGGCTTTAGTTACAAGCACAAGCATCTTGCCTTTTTTTTTTGTTATGGAACGCATGGACGGATGCGGGGTGCAGAGAGCAGCTGCGCAGCGCAATGCATCAGTCCGCCGTCCAGCTCTGCTCCACGACCTCCCGCACTTTGCGGTTGTACTCTCGCTTGTTCTCGCTGAACATGCGGGCAGCTTCAGAGTTAGCGGGTGAATTCGGGTTTGGGTCGCACAACAATGACTGCAAATGGCACACACCTCAGGTTAGTCACACACTGGCCACCAGCACAGATGGTTTGAGTCTTTGAGAACATCATAATTCATAAACATAAACAGAGACACATTCTACTCAGCAGACATCCAGGTCCATAGCAGTAAGAACTACTCTTCCTCCGTCCCAAAAAGAGTACGCTTCTAAATCTGGTCCAAATAGAACTATCTTAAGTTTGACTAAGTTTATAAAAAATAGTATCAACAATTATGATTCCAAATAGGTATAATATGAAAATATATTCCATAATGAACCTAATAATACTAATTTGGTACCATAACTATTTCTAAAAATTTCATCAAACTGAGGATTGTTTGACTTAGCGCTGTAGTTAGAAGTGCACTCTTTTTGGGATTGAGGGAGTTGCTATGCATTGCAAAGTTGAATGTTATTGTATGACAAGCAAAAGTTACAAATGTTGGAAAAACAATAATCTCTGCCAAGAAATAAAAGATTACTTGTATGGTTGTACCTGGATCGACGTGAGTATTGCAGCTACATCATATATCGGACTCCACTGATTCTGCAGGATATCTAAGCATATGCTTCCATCAGCATAAACTGCACACGAGAAAAATATGTCAGGGTGACATATAAGTGGACATTAGAAGGTAGTACCATCCTATAGTTAAGAGCAGTTGTATCAGAATAAGCCAGAGGAGAAAGAAAGCCAGAGTTCCATTGGTTCAAAACCAATGGCACTACATGCATTGTGAAATCTCAGCACATATGTATTCACAAATCACAGCACATATCTGATACATCAAGAAGATAACCACAAACACAGAAAAGTTGCCAAAAAAAGTCTATGATGTCTGAGTTGAAGAGGTCCCTTGGGGGAAAGAACAAGTCAGCAAAGACAAAATCAGATCTGCTTATTTCCTGTACACTCATATAAATATGGATGAGAAACAACTTACTGTTTGGATGAAACATCCTAGAAACAAAGCGCACGGTTGGTGGCTTGTTTGGATATTCTTCATTAAACTGGAGAGTCAGCTTGAACGTACCTGAGAATAAAATAGGAGTTAGCATATTATCAATGAAAGGACAGAACACAAAGCAAACTATGTAGTAAGCTCAGAAAGACAAGTTAGCAACACAGAATCTAAGAGCTGTTGTGTGAGTTAGTGCACTGGAGATTTAGGATCATTTTCATATCTAACACTTTCCCAATTTATGAACCGACAATATATGATCATGTATTTCCAAAATGGGAATGTTTTTGAGTTATGGCAAACTTTGAACAATTTTACTACCGCTAAATTAACACAAACCATAAGGGAATTGCCACCACAGGATGTCAACAAAAAAGGTGACAAGCTGCAGGCCGCGCACAGACAATCCTGTGGTGTGTGAAACATTAGCTTCCAATAAAGCATGCATTATCAGCTAATTCAAACGGCAGAGAGAGAGGCAGAACAGTTATAGTGTAGACATTGTCTTGTTCTGAAACAGCACAAATACAAAAATTGCGAGGAAGAGGACCATAGCAACTATTGATTATCTCCGTTAAGAGGACCATTGTATAATTAATTCCTGGATAATGGGGCTCATCCAGCTAATTCTTTGACTTTATTCTGTCTAAATCAATCATTCTACACATATATATACAAATACCAAAGCATTGACTGACCTTTCTCACCACCAGCAACATGCTTTGGGCTTGCATGTTCTCACAGTAGCAATAGTCGTTGCAATGTTTTTTTCCTCTTATCTTAAGATTCAATGAGAGAAGAAAAGGAATTCTCACTAGGTTTAACAATAGTTTTATTGTTTATAATTATTAATATTTGCTTTAGAAGTTAATTTGACGTCATCGTTTACCAAGACTGACACTAGTGTTAGCATGGTACGCTACAAACAACAACAACAACAACAACAACAACAACAACAACAACATGGTACGCTACAAAGTTCCATTGAATTTGGGGGTCAGTTTCCTCTAAAAATCTTAACTTGGAATTTGTACTCTAGAGCAGCTATGCATTTGACAGTAAGGTCAACAAACTCAGATAACTGAAAACTTCTGCTTGCCACCTGCAAGTGAACTACTGCCTACTAAAAGATTGTCGTATTCTGCATCGCTTGATCACGTCAGTGGTGCCTGTTGTGCTGGCAAAGCCAGCAGCAGCATATGCAGATGCAGTTTATTATTGTTTGGATAAGCACATGATGAGTTGGGTCTAGGAAGCAAAAATCTGCAACATGAATCAGATTAACTAACCTCCATCCCACGGGGTATCATCAGGTCTGTAAATGAAACAAACATATACAAAGACGATGTCAGATTACAATTCAAACTAAGAAAGGGGGGAAATGGAGGATTCTGCATCATACCCAAATATGACAGCATTCCACAACATTATGTTGTTATCCTGCGGGGCGCCACTTATGCCGGCCGGAGGGTCCTGCATCAACCGCTTGAAATCCCTCATCAACCTCTTCCTCGCAGGGGTCGACATCCCCCGGATGTCCCTGCACGACACATACAACTCAACGTGAGCCAAAGGATCGCACGAATCTATCACCGATCCGTCACCGCCCCGCCCCAGCACGTGCAGGATTAACAACCCGAACAAAATTTGGGGGAAAAATACAGCTGTTACCACCAGCACCACAGAGCGAACAAATCCGCAACAGAATTGGTGGATCGGGGCATCCATCCCAGCCAGGACGATAGGGATTAACAAATCACATACAGAAAGGATCCTGCAGAGCTTTACCTAGGTAAGAAGAAATCAATCGAGGTCCAGCAGATGGAACGGACGGATGGATCTCCAGTCCACACTAGCTGTAGCTTATGCGCCCAGTAGAGTGTGAAGGGGAGGACGATGACGACGACAAAAGAAGACGACGAGCTGGGAAGAGCCCTGGAACGCGTGATAGCTTAGACGAAGGGGATGAATTTTAAAGGTCCGAACAAAGGGCCGAATTTTTCTATTTTTTCCTTTTCTTTTTTTGCTAGGTGCTTTCGAGGGAATTAGTTCTTTCTTGTTTTAGTTTTCTTGTTATATTCACTTTCTGGTTTTACCCTTCGGTCCTAAAATATAACGGAAGTTCATCCTAAACACAAAGAACTTATATGTAATCCAATACTTATATATAGTCTAATATTTTTATACTCTCTCCATCCTAAAATATAGGTATCCCAACGTTTAAATTTGTTTCAAATTATAAGGGATTCCAAGTGAACAAATTCTTCAAAAGGCAACATTCACATACATATATCGGGCCTGTTCGTTTAGAGGAATTCTGGAGGAATTTGGATGGTTTGGAGGAATGCTGGAGGAATTTGTGAGAGAAAAATATTGTTCCGGATGAAAAAAAGAAGCGGATCAAGCCGGGTTTAAGGGCACGCGAACGAGGCCATCATTAATGTCTGTCACCAATCTAAACATAATAATCAACTAGGGTCATATGTATCATTTGTTGTATCACATAATATGTCTTAAAATTAACTGATACCTCGCATTCCTAAACGGAGGAAGTACTCAAATATTAGCAATATGAACTTTCTTCGGTGACTTCATGATCACCCTCTTGATGAATGATCAAAATAAGGTAAAGCTTAGAGATAAGTTTTGTACTCGACTAATTTCTCAGTCTCTCTAGTTAGGTGGGTGATGGCTAGCCGAATCCTCCTGAACACCATGCGGGCAACCACAATATATATAGACTAAGTAGCCCAGCTACTTATTTTGCTACAACACCAAAAACACAAATAAACTATACACATAGGTCCACTGTACCAATAAAAAACACTAGAAATACAATTGTCCACGTCCCTTTCACCCTCGACTCCCCGTCTCCTCCAGGAATGTCAATGCCTCACACCTTTGCTATCGTCACCTCTTCTCCGTCTGGATGAGACTGCTGCCGTCTCAAATGGGCCTCGCCCTGACCAAATGAGGCTTTCTCCTTCCCGGATTGGATTTGAGCTTCTTTTCTAGCCGCATCCCTATTTTGGCAACCCCCTTATGTTTGGCACGTAGATTGGTAGATGGACAAACGACTGAGATAGTGACCTCGTGGGCCGCACAGATGAGTAGGGTGGTAACCTCATGAGCCCACGGAGGGCTAAGGTGGTGACCTCCAAGGCGTGGAACTAGCAGTGTAGGGCGAGGAGGGTCGGCGGGAGTAGCAACGACTTGGTGGCAGAAACCAATAAGGGAAGGAGAAGACAGAGAAAAAAGAAATATTTTTTATTTCTTATTATAGTAGTTTATAGACATATATGTACCCTTTGCTATCGACTACTTTTTAGACTGATTCCAAAGTGGCTCAGACAGTGTTTATGGATGGCTTTTGGAGCATTTTGTGGTTGCTCTGCATGTGGGTCTTCCCACATGTGATTTGAGGAGACCCAACCTAACATTCATTCATGGATTGTTTGGTGACGGTCTCGTAGGAATCGATTACAACCTCGACAACTCTTAAAAGATCTCCTTTATGAATAGAAATGGTTTGTTCGTCTACAAAAATCAATCGTCAGATTATGCAGTACTCTTCATCATGCTGTGCAAAATGTACTGAGTATGACATCCTATTCACAAAGCAGCTTCTTCCCATCGATGAAATGATAAATCCTTGGTGATTCAACCATACATTTTGCAGATGCTTTCAACACCAAATCATGGTTAAGCTTCGCTTAAATTGGTTAACTGAATCAGGAGTATGTTCCATTTGGCTGGGACTATGTTTTTTTTGAAACGAACGACAGGAGCTCTACCTCTCAATTAAAGAAGGAATAAAGAAGGTTTATGTATAGCCACAGCCCGAGGAGCTATGCAAACAAACAGGGGTAAAAAATCCACCCAAACCACGTATACAACCAGAATGGCCGACTTGCTAGCCCCTTCCTGGAATGCCCCTTGGAACCGCCCTCATCATTTGCTTAATGTCTTCTTTAATTCTTGAAGCCACTTGCAACGGCGATTCTTCAGCGTTATTGAAAATTCTTTGGTTTCTTTCCTTCCAAAAATTCTAGTATGTGTAGATCACCAAACCATTGAAACGCCTTCTTTCATCCTTAGCGACCTGTTCGCTTAGCTTATAAGCCGTACTTTTTCAGCCAACGAACAGTATTTTTCTCTCACAACAAATCAGCCAACAGTACTTTCAACCATGGCTTATCAGCCAAGCAAACAGAGCAGTTACATTTGTGGCCTACTGCCTGCACGTACAAGACATAAATCCCGACTATAAACTTGATTGTCCGATAAATGTTTTCTTTGAACAAAACGGGAGGAGCACTGCCATAAGAGAGGAACCATGCAAATTATACAATTTTTTGTTACATGGATAAATTGTCAGGTTCATTTCTTGACTCGCGACATGTCCCACAGCATGAAAGTGAATGTTAGCGCTCAGGCTGATTACCCTCACGTAGGTCAGGATCGTCAGTTTTAAGTGGTGACAAATGCACCGTAACCTTGCACGGGATACAAACACATAGAGCTCTTTCTCAGGCAAACCCTGCAATTAATCATAATATAACAACTCAGGTGAGTCTAGTCAACTGTAAAAAGAAAAAAAAACTAGCAAGTAAATGAAGTGGGATACCCACTTGGAGCATGCAAACAAAGCTCCAACAAAATTCCTTTTCAAATTGGTAAAATGCAAAATCCACATGTTGACTCAATTGTGTCAAAGTATAAGTGAATTGCCTACTTTGCCCAATCAGCTTAAGCTTCAGGTTGAACTGGACGGCGTATTCAATGAACCAAGAAAACAGGTTGTTATTCCCCACCTACATGCGATGTGATCGGAAGGCATTCCAATGACACCTGATCTCAGCCCACACCACACCATAAAAAGGGTATCCAGTGGCTTCCAATTAGGGGGGTAGTTCACCAGAAGATGGCCACACCCCACATCTACCAATGTGAGGCATGTTTGTGGGTCTGAAGACAGTGAGCCACCGTCAGCATCTATGGCGACGAGCGACACCACCGACGCCACCACCAGGACAGGTGACACAAGCATTGCCGGGCATCTATACCGACACTAGGGCTGCCCCATGCCTGCATCAAGAAGGCGCGAGGACATCAGCGGTCTAGAGAGGCATGCACTCCTTAAGGTTAATGATGTTTAATTCAAATTACGTGTTCATGCTTTGGACTAGACAAGATCCAAAGGGTTAATTGGGTTTAAGATCTAACAGCCTCAAGCTTTCAGCCAGCTCACGGATGAAACCCCTCTCCATGCTACTAACTCATCCAGCAACAAGTTCCATTTCTTTAGGTAGGCAGAGATCTATCACGGCATAACGGGAAAAGGTTGACTTAGGTGAGCTGATAATTAGCAATAGAAGGCAAATATACCTATAAAAGCACCGTTCACACATCAGATCAAGCTGTGAGATAAACTTCTACTGTAAAAAATACAAGATCATGATAAACTCACCCCTGCCACCACGGAGGACAACCGACTATTGTCACACTAACCTCTCCGCTCTCTTCCTGAATCCCATCTACTGCTGCGGCCTCCCTTGAGCACGCATCTCCGACCTCGCCACATCAATGCTATGTAATGTTTTCTGGTCAACGCTTTTGACTTAGTTTTGGAGCTGAAATCATCATTATGCGATTGAAAGAATGCAAGTAAACTAGGTTCTGCAACATAAGCACGGAACATAAAAGGCTTACCAAATTCCATTGTTAAGTTCAACCATTTTTCTGATGTTTGTTCCAACCAGGTTCAGTGACCATCAGCCTGTTCGGGAGGCCGTATCGTATCGTGGATTATTTATTGCTGGTTGGTTTGGTGTGAGAAAAAAACACTGTTCCCGGCTGGAAATTTACGATCGTTTACGAGCAAGCGAACAGGCTGCATAAGTCCAGATTCCAGCCTTTTTCCTCTTGCCACACCAGTTACCAAACTGAAACATGATTGCACATCCCTAAGCATCACTGCTGCCATGAAGCAGTGAGGTCTGCTACTGGAACCGTTGCTGAATCCACCACGTAAAATTTAGGACCTCGACATAATTATGTTCATGAAAAAAGAAGGGGACATAATTCCGGTAACATATTGCTTCAGCAAATAACGCACCACAACTTGCTGTTCTTTTTTTCTGCTCAGCTTGCTTACCAATGCCCACAGACCACACCAAGAAGCCCTCATTCCTGAGGGTATACAGCTAATCATCCTATGAAATCACACTTAAACAATGCACCACATGTTTTGCCAGAAAAAGGAATGGAAGGGCTATTCCTTCATGTACCATCAGTACAGAAACACATTCAAACATCATATTGCATTCCTGGAATAAGAAAATGTATGAAATTACATGTTTATATATAAAAAATAGCAGTAATCACTACGGGAAAAACGTGATTTGCCGAGTGCCAAATTTCGGGCACTCGGCAAAGACCTGCTTTGTCGAGCGCCGCATTCGGCAAAATATGGCACTCGGCAAAGAGGCATTTGCCGAGTGCCAGACACTCGGTAAAGATCTGCACTCGGCAAAGGCAGACACTCGGCAAAGATTGGTAGGGGCCTAATGGCATCCAGCGGCGTCCTCTTTGCCGAGTGCCCCCCGTTTGACACTCGGCAAAATATTTTTTTTTTGGTTTTTTGCCACCAATTTTTTTTGAAGATTTAGTACACTACCACAAACAACATGTTTAAATTTGGGACATTTTCATTGCCTTTTGGCATATTTCTATAGTTTATTTTGTTTTGTTGAAATTTTCCAAAAAATGTAAGTTTGAACTGCAGATGCATCGAATAATGGATTACATTCGTTCAAAAAATGTTATCCTTGTTTCTTAGTGTAAATTTAGGTTAAATCCAGGATCTGTCTCGAAATTTCGATCAACGTGCTCACGGGGCAACGCCGCCAACTTGCGTGGGAGTGGTTTTTTAATTGTATAAAATGCGAACGAATTCCGAAAATCATGAAACTTGTCGAGTTGTCGCCGTATCGTATGCGTATGCCATGGAAAAAATTTGAAAAAGTTTCGAGCACGTTGTCACGTACGATGCTCACAAACCAGGACATCTCCACATGTGATCCTTGTGAAACGATACATGATGTCTGTATGCAGGACTTCTTCAGGTGCGACGAAGGGTTTGAGGACCGGGCGGCGCGAGTGCAGGACAAGGTCTATAGGTCCCGACTCTCAGACCTGTACCACGAGACGCGGCTCCAGTGCATCATCAACTACAGCGCCGACGTCCTTGGTCAGGTGGTGAGGAAGGCCGATGCTAGGACCGGGGCGCTCACCAAGGAGCAATACCTCTTAAGTAAATCTGAAACATTAATCTGACTCCTTCCATGAAGAATAGGTAGGCTTTATTTCATCTTCCGACATATCAATAACTTGATGGCATGCGGCAATGTCTGATTGGTGCATCGAGCACCGCCCTCTTTGGGAGGCCATTGTGGGATGGTGGCTCTCGGAGGAGTGGGAGAGAAGCACAACATCCATGGGATGCCTCTGCAGATAAAGGGCGCCATACCACCAAAGGCAACCGGAGCCTCAACTCGTATGACCAGGCATGGGTAATCTTCTTTGTGTTTTCATCTTTATTTATTTATTCTAACGCTCAATTCTCATTACTTGTAATCATCTTTGTGTTTTCCTCGCAGATCCCAGGCGCACCAAGGCCGAGAATGCAACGAGTTCATGGCATACGCCCGGCACACAAGGGCAAGCGGCGGCCGGAAGTCACCTACAACCCGGTGGGCCGGCCCAGGCGTACACCAACCTGAAGCGTCCACAACAAGCTTAGCGAGTACACCTCGGCGGCAAGCGCCATGGGAGGACTTGATCCGCCACCCCGGACATAGACCTCGATGAGGATGGGAGGAGGAAGCCACGGCCAAGATCTTGGATGGTGGGCAGCACGGTCGACTCCGCCTCTGTTTCCAACCTCACCGAGATTGAGCAAGGAGCACGAGCTCCTCCTCCCCATCACGCTCTCAGCAGCAGAGCTCTCACAGCTGACAGATGGCGGAACTCGAGTTAATCTTTGTTTTATTAAATCGTTCATTGCTTTTACACATCTACCTTGCCTTTGCATTGTTTAAACATTGCGGGTGGAATGTTGCTAAGCCGACTTTACGGAGGTTGGAGGCCCAGGCCAGTGGCCCAGACGGAGGCCAAAGAAAGTGCCCAAAGTGAGGTCAGCTGTACAAGCCCAGAGGGCGGCCAGGCGTGAGAGGCTGCAGGACATGTTCACTTCATGGCGAGCCTTCAGCCTTGCTGTGTGTGGTCGTGCCCAGTCTGCCGCTCGCTCGGTTGTGGCTCCTCCTCCTGTAGGGACTCCGGTGAGTATATATGGTTGTTTATTCCTTTAGCTTGTGCGGCCCTCCTGTAGATACTCATGAATTCGCTTCTCCTTTGTGTTGACCACACATGACGGGTTTGAGCCGGACTCCTCAAGGTGGCCCTTCTCCTAAGCCTCAATGCTGGCCCTCCTCAAGGTGGTGATTCACACTCCAGTGGGGAGGTTGGCGATGAGGTACCGTTTATTTGTTTCTTTTCATGTTGCATGGACTTGTGTTAGACTTAGCCTTATGTTGGACTACTATTAGAGACATATATATATTGTGATGGATATTGTCATGGATGATGCGAATGTATGTGATGGATTATGGACAATGGATTTATATGTGATGTATTATGGATGGTGGATGTGTATGTGATGGGTTATGGATGTGTATGTGATGGAATATGGATGTGTATGTGATATATCATGTGTTTGTGTGTTGATATATATGTGATTTCTTTGTTTGTCTTGATGGAAAGCAAAAACAAAAAAAAGCATTTTTAACGAAAGTGCACACACTCGACCAAAGAGGGCTTTTCTTGATCAAGTGACCATGGCACTTTCGGCAAAAGTTCGGGAAGCAGAGACCAATTTCCCGGCTTTGCCGAAAGTGCGAGCCATGGCACTTTCGGCAAAATTCCCACAAAAAAGAAAAATTCCTTTCGAAAGTGCAATAGTATGGCACTCGGCAAAGAATTCCCAAAAAAAAAAATTCTTTGCCCGAGTGCGCTAAGGTGGCACTTTCGGCAAAGAGGCTCTCTATCGAGTTGACGTCGGATTTTTTTTTTGCCGAGTCTTGACGTGACACTCTCAAAGGCTTTACCGAAAGTGCCCGATATGTGGCACTCGGCAAAGAAACTCTTGCCATCGCTCTTTTTGCGAGTCGCGGCACTCGGCAAAGCCTTTGCCGAGTGCAATAGGGGCTTTGCCGAGTGCCCTACCCTAAGCACTCGGCAAAGAGCCCGTCTGCAGTAGTGAATACGAGGACAAAACATTCAAGCACAACTATGTTTCTCAGAAAAAGTTGATGCAGAAACTTACCATGTTGGCAGAGTATGAGACTCCACTAGGAAGTTCAGTATGATACAGGACTTCGCTCATCTTTTGTTCCAGTAGAGAGGTTATGCAAGGTGTTCAAGCTTCTTTCAATTCGCTCCTCAATACATGCGAGTCTCCTCTCAAGTTTTAACACACTGGTATGCATGATACGAACATCAACTTCTGCAAGCTTTGCAAAAGCACGTAGCAACATGAAATAATCAGCACGTGCAACATAAACAAAGCAACCACTTAGCCGCCTCCTTCTATAACGAAGATAACCATCTGATTGCCTTGGTTTCCTAGGTGGCATATAATGAAATCCATGATCATGCATCTCTGACTTAAGCATTTGCATTGCATCATGCCCTGAAGATGCAGAAAAGCAACTTGCTTCAACAAAAGCTCCATCTCGGTAGCGCTTCTTCACTCCATTTTTAATTGTTAATTCTTCAATACAATGAGATTGGGATTTTACATGATCTTTTGGATTTACATGATCTTTTGGATTCTCATCCTGCAATGCAACACCATAGGTATTTAAAATCACAGTTGGGAAACAAAATTTGTGCAAGACAACTAGAATGACGTTATCGTAATTAAACCTAACTGACATCCTGCCCAGAACAAAATTTCAAGGTTAAAGATCTCAACTGAATTTGTGCTAACAAAAGTACCACAAAATTTTTGAGAATAGTCGTCCCCACCCCCAGGCCCACAGGTTCTTTTGTCTGTTTTTCAAACATGGAGATTAAATTTGCATTCTATAGATCTTTCTAGGAAATTTTATGATAGCTAGATTACCATGATAGAACCTAGTTGATGTGCTTGCAGAAGTCGTTAATACAACTTATAAATAGTTGCATAGAATTGTACCAGAAATGCAGAATATGATAAGGGAAAGCAATTAATCCATAATGGGACAACTTAAAAGTTACATATATAATATTTTACCCACCTCATGCAAAAGTAATATAGGTAACAACATTGTCAAGCAAAATGCAATACCTCTCTAGTTTTGTACATATCCCAAAAGATCTCTGTTAGATGCTTCTCTTCATCTGAACATGTAAACCCAGTAAAAATTACTTTCTTGCAGTATTTGAGATAAGAGTGGAGATCACTCGAGTAGTCTGCAAAATTAGAAAACTTCAAGTGAGTGCCCCACCATTAAGTACTCCCACTAGCCACAAACACGTCAGTAAAGACCCAAAAATATGTCCAGTCAAACCATTATAACTTTATCCAAATGTAGACTAGAATACAAAAAATGCCAGTAAATTAGTCATAATAATCTTTTCACTAAAGAAAACAATCCCATAATTCTCCATCAGTTTGCTCTGTTTGTGCTTGGAAGCAAAACTAGATGCTAACGGTATTACGTTAAGGCATGACCAGAAGACACATGAATATTTTGTTTAAGTTAATGAAAAACATGTGTTGCAGACTTAGCTTTAATAGATGTGAAATGTGCAAACAACCATTTGTACTTAATTTAGTACAGCAAGTCAAATATAAACTACCTACAGTCAGGATAAGCATGCCACAAGCTAACAGGTGTACTACAAGATAAACATAATGTGGATACAAGGCAATGGCCATTAGAATTTACCATGTGCCACATTAATTTTATCATAGGCAGCTGCGATAGCACACAATAATTCTCTCGTGACAAACTCATCACTGTTACTGGCCTCATGCTTTCTGAGAGTTGGTGAATTTGCATCATGATAAGATCCAGTTGTGTTTCTTCCTTCCTTGCAAATTTTCTGCAAAGAAAGGTTACTTCAGGTCATATGCATTTATCAAAGAGCATAGATGAGTTAGGGAGAGGTAATCTATGTGGCAAACACACCTCCCATATCCCTTGACCATTGATGTTATACATAACTCGTAGAGACACAATTAGGATAGCCATCACACAAACTCGTGTAGGGATTCTAGAAGGATTACTGGACAACCATAGTTCTGCAGGCATTGCCCACTCATAAATTCGGCATGCATGGGGGAGGATTCTATCTATAGGCAGCGACAAGTCCTTCAAGCAACGTTGAGAAATTGCATAGAAGTTAACTGGAGGAAGACCCAAGCCTACTCTTTGTGCTATGGATCCAGCTGCAGCTTCCAGTTGCCATGCTCCAATAACTCGCACTGGCCTGAACAGCTGCCTTACGTCAAAAGGGCAATCTTGCAAAGAGCTCCCAAGGAATGTGTCAACTTCAGTAAATGCAGCCAAATAAGGGACATTCCCCTCCCTTGCCCACCTGTAAATGTCGCTTGGCAGGATGGCTTCACGAGCAATATGACAGGCCAAGAAACAAATAGCCAATGTTGAGTAAAGCGGCAGCATCATCCTCAATGAGCGCAAAAAGGCAAACTCCACCTTGTGCCTGTCCTTCTGTTGTGGCAAGATATCATCATCCCATTCATACTTCACCTCGTCAGGTTTCTTGATATCTGCAAATAAGAGATAGGTTCATGTCGAGTTTGTTCAGTTCTTCTGATGGCAGTACCTAACAAGGGCGAGCATAAACACTCACCTCCACCACCACAACATTTCTCCCTCCCCGTGGCCTCATGGTCTGCGAGCACCTGGCGCACCCACGTTTCATCAGACACCTTGGATGCAGCGACCCACCGCACCCAGACAGGGCCAGCAACAGCACACACAAGTGCAGCTACCCAGTGCTGCTCCACCAGCGCCTCCAGCTGCCGCTGCAGGATGACCTGGAGGCCCTGCACGTAGCACAAGTGGACCCGCGCCGCCAAATCCTTGGGTCCCACACACACGCTGCCGCCGGGCGCAAAGTCCCTTGGCTCACTCGGCTCCGCAAAGTCGTTGAACGCAGCGGCTGCCTGAGGGGTCTGTTACGAGTTTACTTCACCATGGCTTAGATAACACAGAGTATGAGTGGATTAACCCTTTCAGTTTAGCCATCCGTTTGAGGATGATAAGTTGTGCTCATTTGAAGTTCAGTGTTGGACAAATGAAAGAGCTCTTGCCAGAGATTGCTTGTGAAAATTTTATCTCTATCAGAGATCAAAGCAGAAGGCATACCATGCAGCTTGAAAATATTATCCATGAAATGCTTAGCAATTTGCAAGGCAGTGAAAGGATGAGTTAAAGGTATGAAATGGGCATACTTGGAGAATTTATCCACCACTACTAAAATGCAGTTGCATCCCTTAGATAAAGGAAGACCCTCAATAAAGTCTAGACTCACTGTTTGCCAAGCATGAGAAGGAACAGATAATGGTTGAAGTAAACCTGGATATTTCACCCTTTCAGTTTTAGCCTTCTGACACACCAAACATTGAGCTACAAATTCTTTAACCATCTTCTTCATTCTAGACCAAGCAAATAATTTCTTGATTTTGGTATAAGTGACCAAAAAACCTGAATGACCACTAATAGCTAAACTGTGCAAGGCAGACAATATTTTCTGTTGCACAACTGGACTACTAGCCACCCAGATCCTATTCTTGTATTTGATGATACCCTTGTCCAGCCCAAAATGACCTTGTTTGGCAGACACACTAAGAGATTGCAACAATTTAAGAGTAGGAGGATGAGTGCTATAAGAGTCCACTATCTGTTGAACCCAGACTGGTTGTGAAACTGAGAGGGCATAGAGTTCAGAGCAGTGATTAGCAACAAGTGGTAATCTAGACAAGGCATCAGCAGCTGAGTTGTCAGTACCCTTCTTGTACATTATTTTATAATTGAGTCCCAACAATTTAGTGTATGCCTTCAGCTGCCATGGTGTAGATAGTCTTTGATCTGTCAGATTTTCCAAACTCTTCTGATCAGTCTTGATAATAAATGGTGCATGTTGCAAATATGACCTCCAATGATCCACTGCCATTAAAATTGCTAGACATTCCTTTTCATAAGTTGCTAAACCTTGATTCTTGATGCCAAGAGCTTTACTGATATAGGCAATTGGGTGACCTTCCTGTTGTAAGACGGTTCCTATACCTTTGGCAGAAGCATCGGTCTCAATAGTGAAAGGCTTAGCGAAATCAGGCAACTATAGTACTGGTGCAGTAATAAGAGCCTGTTTTAGTTGCTGAAAAGCTATTTCCTGAAGAGATGTCTAGTGAAATAGTGTACCCTTCTTGAGCATATTAGTCAAAGGTCTTGCTATAACACCAAAATTTCTGACAAATTTTCTGTAATAACCTGCTAAGCCTAGGAAACTCCTTACTTCCTTGACATTAGTAGGGATAGGCCACTGTTGAACATCTTGTATCTTCTTGGGGTCAGTGGCCACTCCTGAAACACTGATGACATGACCCAAGTACTTCAACTGAGTTTGAGCAAATGAGCACTTAGACAACTTGATCTTAAGATGATGTTCTGTCAACAGATCAAACACAGCTTGTAGTAGAGCTAAATGTTCAGACCAAGTCTTGGTATAGACCAAGATATCATCAATGAATACTACAACTCCTTTTCTCAATAGAGGTGCCAAAATGTAATTCATGGTTTGTTGAAAAGTAGCTGGTCCACCTGTCACCCCATATGTCATCACAGTATATTCGAAATGGCCATGATGTGTTTGAAAAGCTGTCTTATACTGATTAGTCTCTTCCATCAGGATTCGATGATAGCCTGTTGTCATGTCTAGAGAAGTGAACCATTGAGCACCAGATAATTCATCAAGGATTTCATCAATGATAGGTAATGGATACTTGTTTTTAATTGTTAGAGCATTGAGTCTTCTGTAATCAACACACATTCGCCAATCACCAGTTTTCTTTTTGACCAATAGAACTGGAGAGGCAAAGGGACTGGTGCTCTCTTTGATCAATCCATTCTGAAGTAACTCATTAACTTGTTTCTCGATTTCATCCTTTTGAGCAGGATTGTATCTGTAAGGTCTCAGTCGAAATGGTTGAGCACCAGGGATCAGTGGTATAGTATGATTAATATGTCTTGCAACCCATTGAGCTTCTCAAATAGTTGTTGATACTGAGTAATAATACTGTGAAGCTCAGCAGGCCAACTGCTAGATATATGTTGAGATTCCATCTGAAAAACTTCAAATATACACCACAACTGATCCTGTATATGAAGTTGAAGCATTTCTGGAGCAGTGATAATTGGACATTGCTGCAGATTGGGTTGGATTCCCACAAGCTGAATTTGGTGACCCTAAAACTCAAAGGATGACAACTTGTTCTTCTTGTATTTCCATTGGACTATACTGTGCAAGCCAATCAATGCCCAAAATAATATCATAACAATGTAGTGGTAGGATTTTCAGATTCACCAAGAAACAATGTCCTTGAATATAAACAGGACAATGGAGTAGTTCATGAGTACATTGCAACAAGGTGCCATTGGCTACTCTAATTTGCACAGGTGTATTCAGAGGTGTCCAATTAGACAGTTTAGCAGCGAGAGATTGACTGATGAAACTGCTAGAACTGCCTGAGTCCAACAACAATAACACAGAATGCTGATACAAATCACCTACTAACCTAATAGTTTGCACTATGTCAGTGCCTTGAACCGCTGACAATGACAGTTGCATCAAATCTTCACAAGAATATGAGTGATACTGATCTTGGTCATTAGAGTTATCAATAAGTTGCCACAGCTCTTCAACTAAATTCAAGGACACCGTAGTGGAACACTTATGGTTGGGGTTCCATTTGTCTCCACATTTGAAACATAAACCCTTAGCTCTTCTATAGTTCTTGATATTCTGAAGCTTCTCCTCAACACCTGATAGCTTAGCTGGTTCCACAGGTTTGACAGGGGTGGCATTGGACACTGCTATCTGAACACGAGGTGTATGCGTAGCTGACCATTGTGGCTTGAAAGATCGAGCTCAAAAACCCGAATGCCCACTGGTACTGTGAGACTCTGTTGAAGATGAGTCTGACAGGACCTCTTCCTGCAAAAGGGCCAGAGAACAAGCAGCATCCATACTGGAAGGGCGATGAACTAAAACAACAGCACGAATTTCATCTTTCAAACCATCTACAAATCTACTGGTGATAACATGAGGGCTAAAACATGGGTCATGAGCCAGGATCTGATTAATGAGTTTATCAAAATTTTCAATATACTCAGCTACTGTGGTGGTCTGTTTGAGTCTAAAGAATTGACGATTAAGAGAGTTTTGCTGATCACGCTCAAAACGACTACAAATAGCTATGTAGAGATCAGACCACGAGCAATGCTGCAAGATAGACTACAGATTGTGACCAGAAAGCAGCCGAGCCTACGAAATTCATCACACCTATCTTCACCCGCAAATGCTCAGGTACAGCATAAACATCAAAGTAGGACTCACAACATTTCTTCCATAATTTGGGACTCATACCATCGAACTTAGGAAACTCTTGCTGAGGAATAGCTTGATTTAGAGCAAAAAATTGCTGAGCACTAAAATTTGGGGAAAACGTTGGAAGAGGTGAATTCGCACCTTTGACTGGGGTCGGCACGATGGTGGTGACCACCCCATTGCCAATACCCCGGTGGCTGTGTTGTTTGCCGTGGCCTAACGGCCCTGAAGCCGCCTCAGACGAGGACGCAACCAAATGCGCAGTTGCCAGCTTCGTGAGGTCGATGAGCTCGTTGTCGAAGACCTGCTTCGCCCGATCTATCATAGGCGGGTGCGAAATCAAGTGATCCACCTTGAGTCGTAGATCCATCACGGATTTGTGGAGGTCGTCGACCTTGGCATCGATCTAAGGCCGCCATACGCCCACATCCTAGAGCGTCGCGAGGTTGTCTGTCAATGTGCGCTGAATGGACGCGTTCTGCTTCTGAAGCTCCTTCATCATAGTGGCGAGGTCGCTCAACTGAATCTCCATATTGTTGATGCGTTTATGATCACGAGTTTGATACTGAGGGCGGAGAAGGTAGTCAGGAACTGACGCCAGATTAATCGATGATAGAGAACCAAGGATTTGGTGGAGAACAGGAAATTTGGTGGAGAACACGGAAATTGGCGGAGGGCAAAGGTGGAAACAGAATAGCTGACCGTGGTGTTCCCGCCGACCAACTCAACCTCGGCACGGACCTATGGGACCTCACGAACACCATGCGAGGGCGATGAACAGAGATCGACCTGCCGTCGGGGATTACGAGTCTAGATCAAGGCGAGAACGGCCAACGGCAACAGCGTACCTGAACAACGGCGGGGCGCCACCGAGGCCACCAGATCGGTGACCTCTGATACTAATTGTTACGAGTTTACTTCACCATGGCTCAGATAACACAGAGTATGAGTGGATTAACAAGGAGTAGCAATTACATCGAGCAATCGCTCGCCTCTCACGCCTCCGGCACAGCCGGCCAATTCGTTCTCCTTCTCCCCTTTCCCTTGCCGCACGTCTCCTCCTTCTTAACAGCTAACAAGCTCACTCGATCGTTACAACATCGTCATGGGCCGGCTTTCCACTCTGGGCCTTGATAATGTGTACTGGGCTTGATCTTCCGCCTGGGCCGGCCTGGTACCATTCTCCCTTCTTCTTCATCCGCAATCTTCTCACCTTCCCCTTTGTTGATATCAACATCTCCTGGTACCGTGACAGGGTCCTTGGGTAAGATGCGGGGGGTGCGGGTGCCAAGGGGGTGGGCTGAGTGGCGATGCGGCAGACGTAGATGTTGCCGGTGGTGGGGAAGTCATGGGGGTCAGCAGCAGTTGCCTGCATAGTGTGCCTGGCAAAGCACCTACGGCATGTGAAGAAGCCGTCATCTACATCATCGGTGCTGTAGTTGTCCCCGTTGAGGCATTCCTGGCACACCAGATGGGTGCTTCCACCACCGCCACCGTAGGGGTTTGGGGAGGCACAACAAATGTATCACATGATTTAAAGTAGTAACATGTGATGAGCAATACTTTTACAAAATATAATTTCAACAAGAGAGAAGCATATGAATTGGATTCAACAAGTACCGACTGATACAAGAAAAGTGTAGAACATTTCTTTAAAGCCATAAAATGGACAGTGATTCTAGAAGAAGGCAACACAACAGAAGTGCCAGGGTTTAATACACACTTGAAGGCATGGAAGACTAAAGCCCCAAAGGATCATGAACCCAAGGCAGATTTAGGTCTTCCCTTTGAGCACATAGCTAGGTGTAGAACAATAGACAAGCAATACAACTACATACACAATAAGAGAATTAGCAGGCAACACCTGTGCTTAGCATGGCAGTCTAATCTGGCAGCAGAGCAAATTAAACAGGAAATGTGCCAGCCAGGGAACAACCTGGAGGCAGTTATTAAAACCCAACTTGTAAAATTATGTATCTTTGCTGAAATTCCACACTATGCCTTACTTATGTGTTGAAATAATTTTAATAAAGATAGTTTTACAGATACGAGTTTCCAATCCAGGTTAACAATCTTCAATCTCTCAATATTACTACTTCATTCACTTAATATTTATCAGTTGTGATGAAGTGACAAATAAGTTCATCATACAAAAAGTAAGATCAGAAAAACAGTTTGTGTGAATAATTGTGCGATGATATAGACCTAATTGAATGCCTAGAATAAAGGAACTTACGATGTAAATCACAGCACCAGCTTTCCAGGTGGAGTAGAGTGAAATCAAACAGCTTGCTTGAGCCTGATATGTGATTGATCAATATCAAATATCAATAGCAGCACACAGGTATTCTGCTACATCTGTACACATCTAAGATTAAGCAACACAGTCATTCACGTGAATCACTGGTTCAGACCATCAAGAATAAATAAAATAAATATTAAGTTAAAAGGCAAGAGCGGAAATATCAATATTCATAATGGCTGCCCATTTTATACAACTGTTTTGAGTTATGTGAGATGAAGGTTGGAGTTCCAAGCATGGGAGGTGCACTAACTGCCTTCTCAACATTGTAAACACATGATTTAAAGTAGTAACATGTGATGAGCAATACTTCTTTTACAAAATATAATTTCAACAAGAGGGAAGCATATCAATTGGCAACCATAAACAATGAACAACAGAGCATTCTTATGAAATGTCGAAATGTTTCCAACTGATTCAGTTCCTGTTTTTAATTGAATTGCAGGACTGCAGATATCGTATTAACTATATAACAATATATTGCAAAGTCTATATGTGAGTTCGCTGTATGGGGTGCACTATTGAATCTAAGTGAGTGGCATTAGTTAAATCAATGTGCCTATATGCCTAGGGATAGTACATAGGTTTGCTACAATGAGAAAGTAAATATTAGCTCTAATGAACATGTAATTGGTTTGAATCACTTTGCAGTGTTTTTTTCAGTGTTGTTAATTGCTCCTAACTTTCAGTATGACATATTAAAAAGGATCAAGTTTACTTCAACACAAGACTCGCTAGCTATCAAAATTGCCATGCAAGTTTAGAGTTAACTTGTAATACATCATAACTCCTTGGCTGGATCATGCACTGTCTTAGTACAGGTCTATGTTGGGAGCAATTATTTGATGAGACCAAATGTCAAACTTTATGGAGCTATAGGCAGAGAACAGACAAGAATTTTTAGATGTATGTTTTAATATGAATCATCAAGAAAATAAATACTCTCCGATTAAGCACTATTCTAAAACTGCTAAATATTGCCCATGATAATCTCATTGTTAAAACATTTACATATATGGAGCCCTACCAAGACATACTTGAGTTACAAAAATATAGGGAGCCCTACCAAGACTTCTACTATGAATTTGTATTATATAGTGTGAATCATCTGAGGAAGAGATCGAATGAAATAGCGAGTTGATATAAGTGCTACAGGAAGACTGGCTGACAGCCCAAATTGCGATCTACATATTACTAGCGGTGTAATTAAAATTATGCGAATGGTTACCGTGTTAAGAAAAGTTTACTTTAAAAACAGGAGATGGAAAGATGTAATTATAGTGTATCAGTATTCTCCCTATTTTTTAATCTTAGATTAGATTCAACTTAAAATATAGGTTCATGTCTATAATACCTTCTTATTGTGAGAATACAATTAGAGTAGTGCCAATGTTATCAAATCACCTAGTCGAGCCTACTGGTAAGGGGACAGAACAGACGACTAATCGACTAATGGTGATGTTTTGTCGATCAGCCCCATAGTCGAACCTAGTCAGTAGTCAGCAGTTTAGGGCCTGTTTGATATAGGGCGCAGGGGTGGCCGAGCCCGTCAGCCAGGCCCTGGCCAGCCACGGCCTGGTCCATAGCACACACAAGGGTGTGTTTGATTTCCTGCAGCTAGGGAGACGGGCCCAGGAGAGGTTGTGTTTGTTTTCTTCCAGCCAGCCTGGCCCAACACCAACTACCTCCAACTACCAGATGGAGATTTTGTTTGATTCCAGCCCGGCTAGCCATAGGCTAAATACCAGAACCAGCAGTGTATAGAGAAAACAACAACAGATTTGAGAATGCAAATGTGACCAGACAAGAGGATACAACAACAACAATGTGATTTTGATCAGATTAGCCTCAGGACTAATTATTGTTGTAATGCATTAACTCGAGATAATTAAAAACCAATGTGATAGAGAGATCAACAGCACAAATGTGAGTTCAGTACATACAACAGCAGTCCAAAAGCATAACCAGCTAAGACATGGGTTCATGAGACACAGAACAAAAGCATGAAGGTAGGTAATGAAACCTAAGTTGTTGTCATCATTGGCCTACACATTGCAATTACACGAGGGGCACTTGTTTATCTTCATCCAAAGAGCAAACAGCAAGACAGAAAGAGCCAATATAAGCATATTCTTCCAACAACCACTCTTACCAATAGCTATAGGAATTCCATCATAGCAGTCATCTGGGAGTAGCTGGGAGGGGAGGAGAGTTGCTGCTCCCAGAGATGCTTTGAAATCTCTAAGTGCCTCCTCATAATTTTTGTACTTCAAATACCTTGGATTCTTGAATCCAAGAACATGTTCACTGCATTCATACCAGGTTCTATAGATTCTAGGTTGCTTCCCATGGAAAACCACATAGCAAGGTGCCATTTTCTGTGAAATCAGAATTGTAATTAGCCTTAGTCCTTTGTGAATCATGAAACAAGGCATGAGTGCGACATTGAAGATCTAGGGATTGATGAAAGAAACAACCCATGATCCTAAATGCCACACCGATGGCTTGGTTCATCTTGTTGAAATGAAACAATTGACATCATAGGCTAAAAAAGTGGCCTCATGGTGTTGCAAGAGAATGGATGGTTCATATGGATTTGATGACAGTCATGAAAACCAGCAAGAACATGCCATGAAAAAACAATAAACAGGAAACAGTTGTGCAGCCACCTCATTGTTTTTTTCCACATTGTGCATCATAGGCCAGATCAAAAACCCACTTTAGGCACCAACTCATGGAAATACAGGTATCAAATCCAAGAAATGACAGAAATATATGAAAGGATGAAGTGAAGATTCAAACAAGGCCATCCCCAAAATCATGAAAGCCATGAAATCCATGGGCACATCCATTCACTGCCATTAGCATGGTATGAGCATGCTGTTGCTAGGGAATGGATGTGTCCCACGGGTTCAATGACACCCATGAAAAGCACAATGTAATATAGTCCTCCCAATGCAACAGGAACATAAAGTGACAAATATAGTAGTAGCAGTAGTAACCAACAGAGGTTACTAATTAATACATCAAGTTTGTCTCCAAATAAAGGTTTAGCCCACAACAAGTAG